TGGAATTCTAGAGAAAAGACAGCGACTAAATTTCCTTGTATAGGCAATACATTGTAGATGACAGAGGTGTATGTTTGGATGAGCAAAGACTCCACATAAAAAAGAAAAAAATTTGAATTCAAAAATACCCAAAGTGATTCACTAATTATGGGACAACCTAATATATTCTCCGAGAATTCGTTCAACAATTCAAGACTAAGAAAGCACTTTCTAGCGTCGTGTTGCCGATTGTCGACCTCATTCATCCGCTGACGTTCGACTACTCGAAAGCGATGATCTCCAAGAGTGGTTTCGATTGGTCGCTAAACTTCAAATGGGTCTACATACCATGGGAATACTTCGACATCAAGGAGAACAACGTGAAACCGATCGAGTGAGTCCAACCGCAGGCGCTTCCGCAAGATACGGGGTATTCTCGAGGAGTGAGCCTAGTGGGGAACAGGAACTCTGCAGGACGAAAATCGCTCACACGCCTCAGGGTCTCACTTAGCCCGCCTGAGGTGTAGTCTCCTTTTCACCAGAGGGAGAAATCCAGTTTCGGTGCATTGAAACCACAATGCCCCGTATCATGCGAAGCGCCCAGCCCCCTATTCTACTGAATTGGTCTATTGGCTTTATTAAGATCCCCATCGATGTCCGGTGGACTGCTGGCTGTTCGAAGCGAATATTTCCGTTCATTGGGTGAATATGACATGGGTATGGAAATATGGGGTGGCGAGAATGTTGACCTTGCTCTCAAGGTGAGTTTAGGTATGCATAGAGTAGTAGAACACAGCAGTGAGCAATACCCATCACTTAGACATGGATGTGCGGCGGTCGAGTAGTGGTGGCGCCATGCAGCCATGTTGGGCACGTTTTCCGAACTATGCGGCCTTACAAAGGTAAAGACAACTCGGACACAAACCTCTACAATTCACTACGTGTGGCGAAGACATGGCTAGGAAAGTACGAGGTGAGCGGAATACGGCGAGATGCCTTATCAGATGAAAAGAGACCAATACTTTCAGAAATACTTCATGCGAGCTCGTCCGTCGGCAGCAAAAATGGATTTTGGAGATGTGAGCCCTGGGCTTGAGCTGAAGAAGCGTCTTGACTGCAAGGACATGGATTGGTATTTGGATAATGTGTATCCAGAATTAAAACCGTCGGAAGAACAGGAGAAACACGAAGAGTTATGAGGCCTTTTACTATTGTGATTCGAATACTACCTCGCCTAGAATAGTTTATGGTTAGAGATTTAATTGTTTCAAGCTTTGTTTGAGCTATGAAATATCCTCATCATCGCCATAGATCATTGATCACAGTGCTTTAGAGTGGTATAGTCCAAAATATAAAGAATAAAGAAATCAACGTGCTTTCGTGACTTGCAAAAAAGGAGAAAGTGGATAGAGGTTGGCGACGAAGAAAAGGTTCATTGCTGGCGGTGGGTGGGACGTTCACCGAAGTGGGCGGAGTCTTATGAATCGGTTGAGACGGTCCAGAGCCGGGAAAAAAGCTGCTGGTGCTGGCAGGGAAGGTCGAAAGCAGGGTCGGTCCTATCGTTGGTACTTTTTGCAAATTTTTTGCAACCCCCTCCTTCACGAGAAGTTTCATACGACCCCCCCCCCTTCACAGCCACTTTTTCCCTTAAAAAACACCGTCGAGCGGGGATAACCCTCCATGAAACCGTCAAAATTTTGCCTAGCAATGCCCCCCCCCTATTTCCCCTCTTTGCCCACACTTTCCCCCTTCTCACCGTATCCAGTGCGTTCTAATTATAGTCTCCCCCTCAAATTTTGCAGTTTCAGAATAATAGCCATTAGGAATTTTTCTAGCATTATCAACGGATTCCCCAGCACGAATAACCCCCGTTTCCAAATTTTGGCAGCAGCATCATTTTTCTGAACTTTTTTATAACAGTTTTTTCAATTTTACAGCGTTTCATAATTATAAGCCCTCCCTGAGAAAATAAACAATTAATTATGGAGGACAAGAAAATTCGTGTTTCAAGGGACTTGTAAAGGCTAGAATATGTAGCAAATGCATCTCCAATTCTTATCACCAAATGGCTCGGGGTCGCCTGCTATCTTCTGATGAACAGGCTCAGATTAAAGCTCTTCGTGAAGCTGGGCTTAGTAAGAAAGCCATTTCCAGACAATTAGGAAGATCTGTCTGCTCCATTCGAAGAGTATTGGAAAGACAAGGACGCAATTTTTGGTGGAGGAAGTGTGATGGTGTGGGGTGCATTTTGCAATGACGTCGTGCTCGAGCTAGCCTTCGTGAGCTGCAGAATGGACTCCAAGGAATACCAGAACGTCTTAGAGCATCATCTGGTGCCCTTTCTGAGCCGGGGTCGTCATCATAATTATGTCTTCCAACAAGACAACGCTGCCATTCACGTAAGTCGTTCAACAAATGAATGGCTGCGATCCCAAAACATAAGCGTTCTGCCATGGCCAGCCTGCAGTCCCGATCTCAATCCGATGGAGAACATCTGGGGCATCATAGTCAGAAAGGTTTACGCGAACAATCGTCAGTTCCAGAGTACGGAAGAGCTGAAAAAGACGATCGTCGAAGCCTGGAAAGCAATTGATGAAGAACTGCTTCGAAACCTAGTTTCTAGTATGCCTCGTAGACTCTTTGATGTTGCGCTCAAACAAGGAGGAGCCCATCGATTATTAACTGTTGTACATATGCCATTTACATTAATAAATTGTTCATGTTCCCAGGGGGTGCTTATAATTATGAAACGGTGCGAAAACCAATACCTACTTAAAAAATTTTATAAAAAAGTTGAGGTGAACGGTATTGCAACCCAAATTCGAATACGAAGGTTATTTGAGATGAGGAATCTGCAGATATTTGCCAAATAATTTCATCTTAGCTGCTTGCTTGAGAACTGCAAAAATCGAGGGGGAGCTTATAATTATGAAACGCACTGTATAGTTTCACTGCTTGCCGTTTTTTAGAGGGGACGCCCGACCTCCTTTCACCCAAACTTCAACCATAACGATCCCCCTGTTAGTACCTGTGTATAATAATAGCAACATAGGTTGACCCTGGTCAGGAGCCATCTGTGGGCAAGAAGGTTTCAGCTTTTTGATTACGTCCATGGAAGGGGAGAGTGCCACAAGTCTTAAAAATCGGTCCAGAGATCGGGGAAAGCGGTGGTAGACGAAGGAAGGTCAAAAGCCATCGGTGGGCGGGGTCAGCACCGAAAAGGGCGGTGCAAAAAACCAAAATCGTCATATGATCCAGAGATAGCACGGAGGCCGAACAATCGGATACGATCTAGCCTGGGAGATCAAGTCAAATATTCGTGGTAAATTTGAAAATAGCGGACCACCTGTCCCATAGTGAACATCCCTAGAACGACTGTTTCAGTACTCATTACGGACGCTTAGAGATGCAGATATTGTCCAAAACTTCAAAAGGAAGGCGTACAGGGCTCTTACATAGAAATACTTGGACGATTCGAGGTGGGAAAAATCAGACATTATCTATGATTAAACCTGATAGTTCAGCCACACTGATCAATACGAGAAATGCCTCTCAATTAAGCCGTCAAACAAGGTGTAAGGGCACCACAACAAAATCCACAACTGCTCAACTTTATTCAAACACGGCATTAATAACGTAATTAGAACGATTTCTCTATGTAAGTTTCAAGTTGAATCTCAATGTTTTGTCAATAGTCAAGGAAGTACGAAATACAGTTGACGGCCTTTTCGAACAAAAACAATAACTATGCTGGCACGTCAGCTTGCTGCTCATTGGGGTCATTTCCATTCTGTGGCCGATTTTGCGCATTATCGTCCTGTTTAGGAGCGGCCAAGTCTCCAGCAGGACTTGCTACTTGATTAGCTTTCACATTATCTTGTTTCGGTGGAGCAAAATAGTCTGCATCGGCCGGACTCATTGCCATATTAGGCTGAGCATCGCCTGCTTGATCTTGGGGTGCCAAAAGGCATGTTTGTAACTGTGATTCAAGATAGTCCGCTACCGCTTTCTTAACCTGTAATAAAGACCCTTAAACTAGGATTCTGACTGCAACAAAACGTACCCAAACTGCTTATAGGTACGAAAGTGGAAATGTCTTTTTTTTCAGATAACAAAAGAACAACGCGATAACTATTAGTGTTTGGAAATTCGGGAAAACTGCATTCATTAGGGAATTTTCAACTGAAGATCGCCAACGTCATAGAGAAGGGAAAACCGAATAGCTGTAGAATTGATTCATCATGATTGCCCCTCCCGCTCCACTTACTTAATATTTTCTTGTCAGGATATTTGCGCGTCCACAACGAGCTGCTGTTGTTGATGGGCTACAGTAAGTCCCTCTTCACCACCTTTTATAAACGGTACAACTCCGGTCCAGAGAAAAATTCTGTATTTATGGTTTCCCTCGATAGGTCTTTGCTCTTCCAATAGCAACATTGCTACGAACTCCTTGGGAATTCCGCCAAGATGTGAGGGAAAAAAGGCAACATCCACTTCCGTTGTACCATCCAAGACCGTTCAATAAAATAAACTTCCATGCTTGAAGGGGGTTGGTGTGTGCTTGGAAGCTCCGGTTACAAGGCTTCTGTCAACCAAAGGGTGAGAGCGTAGCTGGAAAAGCACACACTTTGTGTCTTATTGGGACTAAGCCTTTTGAAGAAGATAAAGAAAGAGGAGATGCTGTGAGAGCTCCCAGACATCACTACAAAACGCTGAACCGCCAAGGCTCGCGGTTGACAGATGTCCTGAGACCGGAAGTTACCTGACTGTGAAAGAACTATGTAGTCAGGCGAGCTTCATGGGTGCTCAGAATGATAAGAATGTCATAACAAAAAGCTACGCACGCGGATAAATCGCAACGGCTATACACTGAAAGGGGAAGGCCCAGCGCTCAACGACAGCTACGAACGACCTGTTCTTATTCTTTAACTCTTCCTTCTATTATTCTATTATATGGAACAGTGCACATTCCATGGACCGCGGACCAATTATTCCGGATACCACCCATCACACCATAACACTACCGCAGCAAACTTTCGACACTGTCGTGGACATCCTCCTCTGCATTCAACATAAGCGCCGATGTTATACTTTGCGAATCGAGCGATTCGCTAGCGAATCGCTGGACCCGAGCGTTGCGCCAGCAAGTCAAACTAAGTACCAGCGACTCAACAGTGGCGGGACTTGACAGTGGACACTGTTTGAAAGTGGCGGGCTTCCTTTGAACGTTGGGTCCCGCCACTATTGAGTCGCTGGTACCTAGTTCGACTCGCTGGTGCAACGTTCGATTCGCTGGCGCAACGCTCGGATCCAGCGATTCGCTAGCGAATCGCTCGATTCGCAAACTATGACATCGGCCTACTGTCTTTCGCCACGACCTTTTCAACATCAATCCATGGCGTGCGGCGATAGGACGCCGTGCTCCGACCACGTTCCCAAGCTTCAGATGCCCGAGACTCGCTTTCTCAGGGATAGAGACAGCTTCCCCACGACCAGAATGTATGCGACCGTCAGATGGGCGAGAAGCTACTCCGCATCTCTGCTCCGCCTGCGCCGTCTGCCAGTCAGACCGTCGTCCTGACGTGTCGCTGAGCGGTCGTACCGTTGAAGTATTCAGTCGTCAGTCGGAGCAGCCGTCTACAACATCCTTGTCGGACTAGCGGATCGAATACGTACCACATCGACTTCTATGCCTACTTGTCGTCCTCAGCAATCCAGGCCGTAGGTACTCCTTTTCCTCCCTCTTACAATCGTAGTCTCTCTTGCTGGCACTGAGCCGTGAAGTATTTACGGAACGTTTCAAAACGATTCGAAAGCTTTGAAACTATGTAAGAAGCACCATAAGTTGTTTGGTCCAAAGTTCATCTGAACTCTCGCCATGAAGATTTTTTGCATCGACCCATTACCAAGAGGCTGCCCAATGACGGTCTCTGAAATTGCAACTTCGGAAAGCGACTCGTATTCCCTCTTCAACTCTTTGAAACATGTTCGGTGCTCTCAAGGTTCAAGCACACGTCTCTGGGATTGCGAAAAGTGGAAGTTCAAGAACTGTGCACACTCAGAGGATTGGGCAATCACCTAGAAGAGGATGGCTCACAACGATGAAGCCAGCGTGAGTCACATCGCTTTTGATCTCAGGATCTGCCGTCATTCTTACCAATAGATCTCGGGAAGCAACACTAGTCTGAAGGGTTACCTT